CACTTTTCGTGAATAAACAAAACTTATAAACAGTTAGTGAGATAACGCAAATCCAAAATTTAGCTCAGAAATCCTAGTGGTATAAAAAACGATCTTGTCGTTCACCCAGCAGAAGACATTGAGTTATGAATCGGACATATTCTGAAACTAGAACTTTCAGACTGCCGACTCAAAAAAAAATTTTCTTATTATTAGCTCGGACAATACCGGACGGAATTGCACATGTTCGAAAAACACCTCGACCTTCCACTTAGTTTCCGTTTTCTTCACTCCGGAAACATTTTTATTGAAAAATAAGGTAAGATTCGAAATCAGGACAAAAAACTGCGTCGAATGCTGTGTCTTTCAATACTATTGGAGTAGAAAATTTGTAACCGTCGTGGTGCTCTAAAAAACTAACATTTTAGAGCGTTTTTCCTGTACTACCGGCCACAATGACGTTAAACTATGGGAAAAATTATGTTAACAACGCTCGCAAAAAACCGCTCAAATGAATTGGCGCTCTAGAATGTGCAGCAGCTTAGGGACTTGGCTAATACAAAACAAAAACCTCTCTGAAAACCTTTTGGAACGTTCTGAAAGCATTTTCTGTTATTAGATTTGAAATCAGAATACTCGAAAACCTATGAACAATTATTTTCTCGAGGAAATATGCATTTTTTAAACCGTTTGGTCTCCGGAAACCCAGGGATTTCTAGAAAAACCTGTTTGACGGTTTTTTCAGCTCTGAAAAGTGTTCCATTGGAATGAGCACATTAGAAAACCAATAGGACGAATGTTTTGAGTTTCGTGAACTTGTTTGAAACCTATGTCCAAGTGCTTAGTGAAAATTCCCTACTGTGCTTTAACCACTAGACCACGCACGTCACTATTGAAAGTATTCTCTTTCTGTTTATATTTGTTAAAATACTCGAAATTGAAAAAAATAAAAATTTACTTTTCAAGGAACTAAAAGTTTTGAAACTTTAACTTCCATTTTCAATCGGCAGCTCGCATGGAGCTATACAAGAAAGGTGTTTTTTCGAGACTTCACTTTTTTGGTTTACTAAACAATTTCAAGCCTATAAACTAAGATTCAAGGCAACAGAAATTGTTTCTCTAAACTGTCAAGTGCAATATCATCAAAACAAACAAGTTTTGGCAGCAAGAAAATTCCCTTCTATCTAGCGTTTCTTGAGATAGTTAGGACGCTAATTTCATCGTGTTTTACCCGGCTTGCTCTTCGGGAATATGATGCAATTCATTGCAAGCTCAGTTAAAGATTAAACTTAAGAGTACTCCTCCCTCTTTTCAGAAAAATTTTTCGTTTACCGGAATGCTGCTCAAAACACACCACGTATTCACTTCGAACAGAGTCTACCAACAACTAAACGTCTTTTCCACCAAACATCAACAGCGTCTTATTTTTCATTTTTCACGTTCTAATGCAAGGATTTTAGCAACATTGAGTTTAATTTTATTCTAGCACTAAAAATACACTATGAATAAAATAATCATATCGGTGAAAGAAAATTAAATACATAATGGTTTATGATCATCATCATCATTCGGCTGCGAACAATCTGGGTTTGCAGGCGACAATAATCTTAGACTATAATTCTCTCTGTAGATTCTTTTGTTCTAAAGGAACACTGTGTGTAGTAACAGTAATAATTTTGTAACCCAGTCAAAATAAAGAATTAAGAAGTGAAATTTTCTTTTGTACTTTTGCTAATAGTCTGCTAATATTACAGAAAATTTGAGCATTATATCTTTCTAAATCCGCTTGTTATTGAACTTTTCTTCTTGAAAGAAAACAATGCTTTTCCAAACCGCACAATTTTCAATGATAACATTTCTCTTTTATTAGATGCGATATTGCGAATTTAGAAAGATATAACGCTCAAATTTTCAAAAGAAATTGTTCAAAAGATCTAGGATCAGTAGCTGAAAGACCGAAAAGTGCTTTTCTGGGACACCGATTTCGGGCGAAAATCCTGTCTCCCGTGGCCAACGATGAAAAATTTTTTCATTCGCTTGAAATAGTCTTTGAAATCTACTCTATCATTTTAGCAAATAAAAAGGCCGCAGATTCTTGCGGCAGAGGCGTTTGACGTAAAACCCAGTTTCTGGTCAGTGAAGGCCCTTTGTTGAATGTAGTCACGGATACGGATCTACCGTTATATTTCTAGATAAATAATATCATCCTGGAGAGAGTAAATGAATTCGAGTACGTGGACGAGGCATCGATCGATGTCGTGCATCATTTGCAATCAACCACTGGAGAATCCTCGGTGCATCCCGTGCGAAGACATGTTTTGCTTCCATTGTATAACTGAGTGGATTCAAAAGAACAATGCTTCACGCCCCTCATGCCGGCAGCGTGGTTGTGTCGACGACCTTACACAGCCTAGTCAGCCTGTCCGAAATATGCTCAATCGCCTACGTGTTAAATGCACAAAGGGTGGACAAACTGGGCTACAGCAAAGCGAACGCCCACTTGAGCCAGGTCTGTTCCAAGGCCCATGTGCCTTGTATGGCAGTGGTCGTTTTTCTGTCCATGGACTGGAGCACGCGATCAGCTTGACACTTACTTGGATCAGTGCCATTTTCAGGCACTACGATCAGTGCTCGTCCCCCTCATTCGTGAGAAAGACGAACTGAAAGAATTGAAGCAACAGACAACTGTGATCGATGGATACCAGAATGAAATTCACCAACTCAAAGAACAAGTGAAACAACGACAGTATGTGTTTTCACACAAGTGAAACAGCTAGCACGAATTAACACACTTGAAAGCAATTTCCGTAAAAGAGTCTCGGGCGTTCAAGGTGCATGTGTCGAAGAAGATCAATTCGGACAGACATTTGGTTAGCATACTCAACCATCGGCGAACATGTGAGGGTCCTTGTGGTTACCTCGGCCTTCTATGCGATTCGCATGAGATACAAAGGTCCTAACTGGGGATTGATGGGCAATTATCCCACACAACATCATGCCAGAAGGACGGGATCTCTGTCGACTTCCTTCGACGTATGGCTGGTCGACATTTACTAATGTTCACGCCAATGGAAAGGACGAAAGAACAATAGTTCACGTTCTATGGTTCTTTTTATCGGGACGCAGTCACTAATGTTGTTGTTACTAATTCCTCCGCCTTATTTAACGCCTCATCCACATCAACTATTGACAAAAAACTGGCTGATGACGGAAGAAAGTTAGCCTTTATTTTGTCCCAGTCACTATGTTCGAAATCGCGGACGTTTTTGGTATGAGTTTTATTTGTGACTGTATTTGAATTGTAGGAAACTTACAAATTAATGGTGGAAGCCAAACAGATGGATAATAGAGATTGTCCAAGCAAGTTCCTTTTTTAATTGTTGATTTGAAGGTAGCAGGAACAAGCTGAAACAATGAAATAACACACAAAGAGAACGACACACTGAAAATCTATTGTTCTCGAACCCATATCAAAGTCCAGTAGAATAACGGCATTTAGGACATGACCGGGGACATTTTATTATACTTTTGAATCCAATCCGACCTACGCTAACTTACGCGATCTCATTACATTCTAAGCACCCATACGGAACGAGGATTAGTTCGGGAATTCATTTTTTCTCCTAGATTCGGTGGAAAATTCCTTTGTGAAAGCTCTTTTTTATAGTTTAAACTATAGTTTTTAGATTCAGTTTTTCATGCAAAATAAAAAATTTCAGGATAATGTTTGTAAAAGTTTTTGAATCCTGCCTAACCTTGAGACGCCGTCTGCATTTGTGTCCTGTCATTTATTACATGTATCAGGTAACTGGCATGTAATTCTTCAAATGGATAGCGATTTTGACCAAGATTTTTTCAAGTTATTGATGAATAATCAATTTCTGACGGATATATTGAGGTTAATTTGCTTTTGTCCGTGTGCAATATTACTTTTTTCTTAAATTGAAAAAATTTGTTTTATTTTTTGTATTTAATGTAGTTCTGTAATTCGAACAAGAAACAATATACAAAGAATAGCTTATTCATATACTAATGTAAGTGCGTTTCTAGTATACGCTAGCGTAAGAGATGCTCCATACTGTACTTGAAAATACTGTATTAACGTTTAAGGAGCCCCCCTCAGGAAAAAACTTTTTTCTTTCACATCCGATTTCGATGACGCTTACAGATACTAATGCTTACTGTCCAACTAGCTTATGCTAAAAATTTGAATCTGAAAGCTTTGAGCGTTGCCGAATTATAGATGGGTGGTTAAGGAACGATTGGGACTCTTAGCAAAAACGCTAAGGCTTTTTGTTGAAAGGAGTAGAAAGCTGCGGATGGTCTCAAATGAAAGTAGACTCCTAAATCTAAAGTTTGATCCACAAAGATTTGGGGATTTCGCTTCTGTTCATTTCCTACACGTATTTTAAGTCAGAACTCTGAAAACAATCCAAAACTCGGAGGAATATTTTCCACTTTTGTCTGCACAGAAAGCGAAATTCAAAAGTCGCTACGGATCAAACTTCAAATAAATGCCTTAGCCTCAAAATAAAATAAAAATGAAGGTTTTACGATGAATCTTCTAAGAAGACATTTTTGCTGCGCCAAACCCATATTCTAAGCAATGACGTCATCACTTCATGAGTTGTAATTCAGCGCCTTTAGCAAAACTAGTATAACTCTGCTAGGTGAAGTCTTACTCATCTCATTTTGATCAGAACACTCTACTCAACACAGCTCCATGTCTGTTAAAACGAATAACCTTAAAAATTTTAATTGTAATTTCAAATTTAGAAAAAGTTGATTTCTAAGGTTTTCAGAAATCTTTTTGAAAAATCTCCAAAAATTAAGCAAGTCATGACGCACTTCTACGAATACTAATCAAACTCGTACTATTTTACACGTATATATCAGATAAAGGGAAGAATCGATGCAATTCATAATCGTCTTCATAGTTCCTCTGAAAATATCTTAGTTTGATATCTAACGAGAAAGCAGCGTATTTATCCCTACAGATAAAAAATTTCAAAAAAAGTTGACTAGAACAACTCAGCGTCTACCCAATCGTTATCTTTGATAAACTTTTCGACAATTTCTTTCAGCACTAAATTGTTAATTAGTTGTTCAACTACTAATGGTTTGTTAACAATCGGATCCATATGACTAACTTTGAACAAATTTTCTTCAATACATTCTCGACAATAAGTTATACCATAAGGTGTTATGACCGGATCGCGCTAAAAATAAATAAAGAGAATTAAATAAAAATCATAAATAGTGATTTTTTACCCACCATAATATCATAACATAATTTACACGTTAAATATTCCTACAAAAAGAATAACGACAAATCATTATTCATATATGATAATGCTAATCATATCTAATTACTGGTATTTCTCGTTTTCGTCTTCGTTGGTCTAATTCATTAAATAACCGATTCATTTCATGCAAAGATTTATCACATGTTTGTTCAATATCTTTTAGATCTTCTTCTAATTGATGATCAATTATACTTGCTCCAATTGTTGGAAATGCTGTTGCTGTTGTTGTTATTGCACCTGCAACTCCAGTACCACCTGTTAGTGTTCCTAAAATAATGAGAAGAAATTTAGTCATTACTTTCTACATGCCGATTTAATGAAATGAATAAAAATAATAGAAAAGCTAGTAAGAATTTTTGTTTTTCTACCTAAAACAGCCGTTTAATCCAAGGGGGTAAAAGCACCACTTCTCCACTTCACTTCACTTCACTCACTTCAGTCTAAACCCACTTCACTTCAGTCTAAACTCACTTCACTTCAGTCTAAACTCACTTCACTTCAGTCTAAACCCACTTCACTTCAGTCTAAAAACCCACTTCACTTCAGTGCAAGCCTGCTTTGATGATGGACACTGGACAATGGCAAGAGCCAGTCAGCTCATAACAACAGAACTCCAACACTATGAAGATAGAGTGTCTTTAGCTGCTTATGCATT